TCCACGGATCCTGTGATGCAATTGCCTAAAGTATTACCGTCGGGTGACCATGATCACCTCGGGTAAATTGCCCATGGTGTGAGGCAGGGCAATTTTCTCATGCCCAATGGAGACAATCTAAACTTCCTAGCATTCCAGGAAACCATGCACACTAGCATTATGAACGTGTAATTGTAAGATGTCATTACGTGTAGGCTTACGTAAATATTTTGGACCATAAAACTGAATCATAGTTTTGCAAAAATAGTGGAGACTATCTCGTCAAGTCCTCGCAGACATCCTAAAACATTCGTTGAACGCATCAGGCATAATGTCATATGCTTACTGACAGTGTGTGGTCGTGCATTTTTGTTAGGGAGTGAAACCACATATATATATATATATCTAGTATCGTAACGTTGTTGGAAAAAACGACACTCCATTGTTACATCTTCAACTATATGTTCGTATAAACGTTTGAACATTCTGAAGCGCCTACGAAATAGTATCGTTGATAAGTGGCGTTCTCTTGAAAGTAGTCTTGTATCAAACGTTGGTTGGCTTCTTCACGATTTCTACAAATATATCTTCGTGTCCTCCGTTGAGACCTTTCGGTTGTGTTATTCCATAAAACATCATACATTTGTTTCGCCATTTGATCATAAGCAATAACAATATAAAAAATAACTTGAAATCTTCAGAAGATGAAGAAGATGGTATTTTCTATTAATTTTGAGTGAGAAAGTAACAAAAAATTATAAAAGTTTGGTTTTGGTTTGAACAAATGAAATGAATGGTTTAATTTATAACAAAGAAAAAAAATATTAATAGGTTTGCCCGTTCAACGGTCAAATTCACTATTACCCAATCAAAAAACGCGGCCAAAAGGGGGTGTGGTGCGGTCTAACTGCACTCGAAACCACATAGGGGGCGGTGATCCCCTCAATATGTGGCAAACCGTGCGGGAGAAACCGCACCACTCCCTATAATCTATGGCATCCCTTCCACAAAATGGGACAAGGTTGATGAAATGAAGAGAAACGGTGGTTTAATAAATAAACATTTAATCCTTCTAAATAAATAAAAATAATTTTGACACATGTCACTTTCTTATTAACTTGGATATATGTTATTTTTTGGTATTTTTGATTAATTGTTTTTTCCATTTGTCATTTTTTTTATTTTATATTTTCTTAATTAACACATCATATTTTACACCTCAATTAATAATTGTCTTAATTAAAAATAAATAATAAATTATAATATTAGTATTCATATAGTATTTAATATTTTTCCTTTTAAATTCAAATTTTAAATTTTAAATTTCAAATCTAAAATTTCAAATTTGAATAAAATTTTATTTAAACTTTAGTATTAATTTTTTTTTATCAAACTCGTATAATATCTCACACATACTTTGAATTATACAATTTGGTAGGGATGGCAAAAAAACCCGAACCCAACGGGGAAACCCGATTCCTGAATATTTCGGGTCGGGTCGGGTCGCTCTTATCGGGTTTCGGGTCGGGTAACGGGTCTTTATTGGGTATTTTATCCGGGTTCGGGGCAGGGAGTGGGTATGCGCGCCCCGACCCGACCCGCCCCGAATATATATATATATATATATATATATATATATATATATATATATATATATATATATATATATATATATATATATATATATATATATATATATATATATATATATATATATATGAAATTACATTGCTGCCCCTTGAACACATAACCCTAAAATCACGTTTCACTCCAGTATCCTCCTTACGGCTTACACTTCTCTTCGTTCAATCATTCTTCTACTCCAGCCGACACACCCACAAATCGATACACCACAACGAAGAGCGAAGCAGCGATACACCAAAAGGGGAGCAGCGAAGAGCGATTAGCGAAGCAACGAAGCAGCGACTCAGCAGCGAAGCAGCGACTCAGCAACACGCACGTCGCACAAGAGGTAATTTCGACTCAGCGACTCTTCCGACTTCGATCGACGCCACGCACAAGAGGTAATTTCGATTCTTGAAATCCATTGAAATTTTGATTCTTCCAATCGATCACAGCATGAACATTGAAATTTCGATTCTGGAAATCGATCACAGCTTGTAAGTTCGGTATGAACATTGAAATTTCAATTCTTGAAATCGATCACAGCTTGTAATTTCGATTCTTGAAATCCATATGAACATTAAAATCTGTTTGTGGTATTAATTTCGATTGCACCATTTGTAATATGTTTATTGATCATAGGTATTAATAGCTTAATAACTTATTGATCTTAGGTATTAATTTCGATCACAGCTAAATAGCTTATTCACCAAGTCTGATTTCTCTACACATTGTATATGTAATATGTTTATTGATATTTCATTTCCTTAGATTGCATCATTTGGGTTTGAACTATGAATTTGTATCTAACTATCTTTGTTATTAGAATATAAAAGTATTTATTGGCTTCCATGAAATTTTTGGTCTAGATACTTGAATGATATTACAACTCTTACTGTGGATAATTGCACCACAAATGATGCAATTATTAGGATGTTATTAGAGAAACTTCCTCTAAAATCACTAATGATGAATGGTGATTTGTTTCATATGCGTTGCTGCGCACATATTCTCAATCTTATTGTCCAAGATGGCTTATCTCTCATTAAATTTGAGATTGAGAGAATCAGAGAGAGTGTTGCATTTTGGTCTGCATCACCAAAGAGGGAGCAAAATTTTGTGACAGCAGCATAGTAGTTGGGAATACCATACTCAAAGAAGTTGATACTTGACAGCAAGACACGATGGAACTCTACATTCTTGATGTTGAGTGTTGCTATAAGCTACAAAGAGGTTTTCGATCGCGTGAAGACAAGAGACCCCAAGTATATATGTTTTCCTACCGACCAGGATTGGGAGTTGGCTAGTGAGATTTGTGAAAGATTACAGCTTTTTTATGAGGTGACTGATATGTTCTCTGGTTCAAAGTATCCTACAGCTAATGTTTTTTTTCCTTTGATATGTGAGATTGGATATTCTTTGCGTGAGTGGACGAAATCTCCTATTGAGGAGATTAAGGTGATGGCTAACCAAATGCTTTCTAAGTTCAATAAGTATTGGTCTGTAATTCATGGGATAATGGGAATGGCAGCAGTTTTAGATCCACGATACAAGTTAAAGTTTGTGGAGTTACTTTTGCCTGTGCTTTATGGAGAAGAAAAGGCAAAGACTGAATTTCAAATTTTGGAGGGGTTTGTCACAACTTTGTTTCAAGAGTACGAGTCAAGTAATGCATCTAAAAAAAGGAAGAGTGAAGGTATTGTATTCTTCTTATTGTTTATATAATAAATAGAACATTATCTTAAATTATTAACATTTTTATACTAAACATTACGTGTTTGTGGTGGTTCAGTTCCTGGTTCATCTTCATTTGGTTCTAGTATCTCTTCTGGTCATCGTGTTGGATTCAAAAAGCTCTTATCGGATATTGCTTCTATTACTTGAGATGATGATGAATCAGGAGGTATGAGTGAGTTGGATAACTACTTGAAGGAGAAATTGTTGCCTAAAGACATGGAACTTGATTTGTTGGCATGGTGGAAAACAAATGGGATTAAGTACCCGACACTACAAAGGATAGCTAAAGATATATTAGTTGTTCCTGTTTCCACTGTTGCCTCGGAATCAGCTTTCAGCACAAGTGGAAGATTAGTAAGTCCTCATCGTAGTCGACTTCATCCAAAGACATTGGAGGCTTTAATGTGTGCTCAAAGTTGGTTGTTGAATGAAATTCGAGGTAGTATACTATTTTATATTAATTATATGAAATTGTGAATTTTTTTTGCATATTAATAATATTAATTTTACACAGCAACTTGTTCTGAAGAGACGGAGGCATATTGTCGTTCTGTTGAATTTGATTATGATGTGGAAGAGGTCAAACGAAACTCCTAAAAATATTAATTTTATATAGTTTCCATGATTTGGTTTGATTTTGAGTTTGTTTAATATTTTGTAGGAAAACACTAAAGAAAGCGGGACAACAAGTTTGGATGATTTTGTTTGATTTTGAGTTTGTAACTTTGTTTTAATGTTAAGTGGTAATGTATTATTGTGATGAATTAGTTTTTAATGTTGTGTACTTGGGTGTTTTGGTTGATTGGTTGATGTTACAATATTAGACTATTAGTAATTTCTATTTGGTTAAATGATTTAAGAACTTATTTGGTATTTTAAGTTTATGCATCGTCTTAATTTATCATTTTGTATTTATAGTTTTTCCTTCTTTTTTTTTCTGCCATATTTCGGGTTTTAGGGTCGGGTTTTCGGGTAATTATCGGGTTTCGGGTTTAGGATCGGGTTCGGGGAGAGTTTTAGCCCCGACGGGGCGCCCCGATAAGAAACCCGTCGGGTATCGGGTCGGGTTCGGGTACATATGTAGATATCGGGTTCGGGTTTGGGAACTCATGCCCCGCCCCGAACCCGCCCCGTTGCCATTCCTACAATTTGGTGGTCGGATACTCGTGTTGCAACGACCTTGACTTCTCCCAATAAACGTATGGTGCCCCAACATTTATTTGAATTATACAATTTAGGACTCAAGGGGTATAGTAACCATCCGTTTCTTACAAATGTCGACATTATGGGCCAACATTTAATACATATTTTCATTTTATAACCATCTATCTTATTTCAAATTTACAGTATTATATATTATGTTTAGATATTTTCATACCACTAAAAGTTTTATATTAACTTAAAAATATAAAAAAAAAGAAATTACGCCATTAAATAAGAGCTAATTGATACGTTCAAAATAAAATTTATATTGAAAATATTTTACTAAACCTTTTTATCATAAATTTTAGTTTTAGTTGTATAAAACAAAGACAAATATTAAACATGTTTTTGGTTTTATAAACACTTTTTGTTTTTGTTTTATAATTTTAAATATGAAATATACATATTAAAATAATAAAACCATGAGACCATACACATCTACATCCACAAATTGCTTAATAATCAAAGTTGACTATAAGGACTTAAAACAATATATAGGAAGAATTGCTGAACACATACGTCTGGACTATTGCTAGATATTTATATTACAATGTTTGACACTTTTGAATATTCTATATAGTTACAAAAACTTCAAAAAATTTCCTAAGCAGAATTGAAGACAATTAACATGTGCATGTCCAGATTATAACTTAATTACTTCTAATGACTATGACTATGCAAGGAGTATTGGGGCAACAACTTTAGACACACCTCCAAGAACTTGCACAGCACTTTTATTGTTTGTGTCAGAGTTTTCCATAGCCTCAACAATTGCTATAATTATGATCACAAACGCAATGTCCACATTGGGAGAAATGCTCACCTTGAATTTGTCATTAACGAACTTTACAATATTATCCGATGACTGCAGTTTGGACATCTACAGGAATAAATATGTCATTAGTAAGTTTCAGATTGAGCTTTAAGTTACTTACAGAATCTTTTAAGTTATACAGACATAACTGAAAACATGGAACTCTACTAGAAAACCAACAAAAAAAGGTTTGAAAATTAAATTACTTGGGCTATTGTGGTTGAAGTATCTCCCATATAAATAGTGCAGTTTCTCTTCGACCAGCTTCCTTTGACCTTGAAATCACAAACATTTTTAGAACAGGTTTTGTTTGCCAAGAAAACATTTACATCACTCTTCAACAGCTGGATCATGTGACGTTTTTTTGTGGTAAATATCATATCCGATTTGCTTCTACTGTCACCCCTGAATACATACCATCCATGGTGTACAGTCACGCTCTGGAAAATAAATCAGTCCATCTAACTGTTAAATTTAGCATCTAAATTTCAAAACAACCCAAAGAACTAAAAAATATATATTAAAAATTAAAGTTAATAAAGTCACCTTATCACGCATCGTAACGATGGGTTGGTCATCAACATCGAGTAGTACTCGCCGCTCATGAATGAATGAATCGCATGGTTTCACTTTGAAGATGATTTTATGGTTAATATCTGTAATCAAAAGGATTCCGCTTGAAATTCTATCAACTATAATATCGAGTTGATGTGGTACCATGAAGTGAGACCCTATCACAGAAACCGGAGTGGATGAAGGTGCTTTGTTGGGTTGAGCCATCGTCAATACTCCACACAGCAGAGAGGTCAGTATGAGTGAAAATATATACGGAAGATTTGTCCACACTGGATGGGGTGATTACTTTTCTTGGGTTATACAGGAAGTTTCTCAGAAACAACGCAGCAAATTAAGTCTGACCACGTCTCTGGTGTAGTGGTCTCTTATTTGTTGTGAATGAGATGCACACCTACGTGCATATTTGTTTTTAGATAGGTTAAAACAAGGGTTATTTTGTTTAATTTGTTTGAGAAAATATGATAGTTGTATGGATAATCAATATTTGAACTTAAATTCTTAGTTATTTATAGTATTTGGTAATAAAAGTTGCAAATAAATGTTAAAAATATACCAATGATAAACAATATCTCGTGATTTTAAAAGTATCTATAAGTTATTTTTTACTGTTATCTGTTGTGTAATTAGTTTATATTTGTATATTAAATAAGAAATGACATAAATAGATAATAATTATGTGGTAATTACATAATACTAGTAACATTTTTAAGTAAGTACCATTGAACGTTGGTGTAATATTTACGTATTATATTCATGTGTAGTTCATACTGACCAACACAGAAAACCATTGATTTTTTATTTTTTTCGGAACAACCCGGAGAATTATATTAATTAGTTTTCATAATCATTGCGTTTCAGTGTAAGTTTAAATCAGTTAATGGTTTCGGTTATTAGTAAACATCGGCTACCCATGTTGAAAAATTAACTATATTATTTAAATAAATATAAAATACATTGCTATAAAATGTTAAAAACAGAAAGTAGACTGCTATTATGCAAATCTTTCATTGAACGATTTGCACATAATTAACTTTGATTTTTATTAATATCTGGTATCATTACAAGAAGACGGGGCAATACCTTTAGCGGCGACATGTAGCTGCAAATGCATCGCCGGTGATGCTTCGTCGCTAATACGTATATAATCGCCGCTAAAGGGTGTACTCGTCGCCGCTATTGACCTATCGCCAATAATAGTCACCGTCGCCGTAGATGTCGCCAAAATAGATTTCGCCGCTAATACTGGTAACATTTTGATTTTATTTATTTATTTATTTATTTAACATTAACTTTATAAAAAACAATATAACATTTATAAAATCTGATAACTTTTTATAAAATGTTAATCCATATACAACCAATCCAAAATATTAATCCATACCGTACAACCCAAAATATTCTTCCAAATTACAAAACATTTCATAAAATCCAAAAGTAGCTACTCGTCCTCATAATTTCCTTCATTATTTGGTGGCGGCAATGAGCGAAACTACTCTTTCAATGCTGCAGAACAGGCCGGGTCCTTTAGTATTGTTTGTAGCATTTTCAACTACAATAAAATATATATATATATATATATATATATATATATATATATATATATATATATATATATATATATATATATATATATATATATATATATATATCAACATATCAATATATCAAATACACTTAAACATACATCTACTTTCCATTATAGCATTTACTTTACAAAATATTACCAAACTACAATATATCAACAGATCAAATCATAACCAACATATCATTATACCATTCTACTTTCCATTATAGCATTGTATTTTCCAAAAATTACCAAACTATAAAATATCAACATATGAAACCATAACCAACATATCATTATAGCATTCTACATTCCATTATAGCATTACTTTCCAAAAATTACCAAACTACAAAATATCAATATATCAAATCATAACCAACATATCATTATAGCATTCTACTTTCCATTATAGCATTGTAATTTCCATTATATCATTATACTTTTCAACTTGAACTAACAATTACCTATGATTGTGGTTGTTCTTGTGTCAATAGTTATTCCTTATCATACTTGGACACAACGGTAGGGGGTTTACGCTTACTGCCTATGATATATCCGTTTCGAACACTCAATATTCTTTCAAAACAATTTTTTATATCAGTTGGTATTAGCCCACTTGCTTCAGAAGTAGCTTGGGTTCGTTGGTTGATCTCCTCGAGTAAAGCATTATGTATTTTTAAAAAATAATAAAAATCATAAAAATTAGATTACTCAATACCCTTGACGATATAAACACTTATATGAAAATACAAATTAACCATATACGAAAAACTTCGATTCGACTGACGTCCTATTTAACATTAAAAATTAGATTACTTATACTTTAAATAAATATTTAAATATATCATAACTTACTTCTTTGAAACATGCATTGCTGTATGAGCTCGACCCCCATCTGTTTATAACTACTTGTTTTGTACGACATTCAGTGTTTGACATCGAACGCCTTAAAAATTCTAGCGTTTGAAAATTGCTTTCGCCCAATTTTCATGCCACATACCCTTGGGGGGTTGTTTAATGCAGTTAGGATATCTGCTGGCCCCCCGATTTCCTTAAAATAAGAATGAGCTTTAATTTTTCGGCCTCTGTAATCCTTTGCAAGACTCAAATCAATGCTCCACAACAATTGAGCACGCTCCGGATCCATGTTAACCTTATCAAAATCAAATTTATTATGCAAAATACAAAAAAGTTAGTTAATTAAGTAACAATCACAACTAAACTTAAAATTGTATCCAAGTTACCTTTAGATGCACAACTGTTGCCTTCCTTAAGGCGAGGGAAACATTGTCCCAACCAAATATGTTGAAAGGGACGTTGTTCCACAAATACCTCCCAATTTCATATGTGAACTAATTACCATGCTTCCCGACAGGGGAATATGTGATCTCCCTGTCGAAATGCAAATCCACAGGATTTCCCTTGTTTGCCCGTATCAACTTTCCCAGCTCGATATTTTTTGACATGCCCCATCTTTTTTTTTTTTGGAAGCTCGGCTGAAAAAATACAATTAAAAATATTTGTCTCGATAACTTATTATAAAATAATAAAAATAGTTAATAAATATATCATAATAAAACTCATCATCCTGTTCGTGCTGACCACGACCAAAGGCTACTGGAGGTGGTGGATCCCCGGCTCCATCACCTCCATGTCCAAGCCCCATAACATATGGCCATCATGGCCAAGAGTATCGCCCAAGTAAACCTCATCTGTAGCCTTAAATTACAAGATGTACAATATAGAAATACAATATGAATAAAAGTTAGTTACCCTACGAAATTGTAAGATATACAATATAGATAAACAACATAAATAAAAGTTAGACAAACAATATGAATTAAAGGTACATTTCAAATAAAGTTTCTATTACAAAAAAACATTTGATTTTTTTAATCAGAATCTTCATCATATACTTCAATGCCTTCTTCATCAGTATCATAATCAGAATCGTCATCATCATAAACAGTCTCTTCATCGGAAACATCATCGATTCTACCCGTTGGTGGAGGTACTTCAATCTTGTCTTCATCGTCATAATCAGCATTGTTTTGAGATACATCAACATTTTTTTGAAAGTATTTTGAGAATTCGAGAAAAGTTCTAGCTCTAGATGAAGAGTTGTTTTGAACTATGTCAACATTTTTGGCCTCCACATTGTCGACATCTTGGACAGAGTCACTGTAAGTATTTTAGACACGAGCATTGATGGATGGTAGATCCCAAATATTTCGATGATTAACATGCTCGACGACACAACGAGGATTGTTGTTTTCGTTTTTTAGATGATTAACAGGCTCGCGGATGTTGAACACTTGTTTGGCTTGTGAAGCATATATGAGTTGATCATCTTGGTACGCTTCTTTTTGTGTGTCGATACTTATGAAATTATCATCAGGAATATCTCCTGTATCGAACCACTTGCACCGAAATATTACAGTCGAATAATCATATGGATATTGCACCTTAATCATCTCTTCTAACTAGGCATAATATTTCTCTCT